GCAGCAACTAGGTCTGAGGCTGTTACTCTCACACCATTTGGTTTTCGTACTTTATTTTCCCTAGAAAGGGCTCTACTACCTTTCTTTTTCCCAGTTGAACTATGTACTGATTTTCAAACGGATGTTTTATTTTACAGCCAATTTGAATATTATATATATATATATATATATGTGTGTGTGTGTGTGTGTGTGTATACCTTGGCATGTGTGAGACACCTCAACAACTAAAATAACATAAATGTAAAAAAAAATTAAATGCTCACTGAAGTATGTTCTATAAGAGAAAAGCTGGAAACATTATATCCATCAACAGAGCATTAATCAAGTATAATACATCCACATGGCACAGAAAACAAAGTAAGACAGGCTTGCTCAAGAATCTGGACAAGAATGATTTTGTATTAAGTGTGCAGATGCTTCTGTCTCAGTTAAAAGCCATATTACATAAGTTCTATAGGGGTGCTCAATATACTTCCCCTGCCCTTTCAGAGATGGTAAGGGAAGAGACTAATCGCTTCTCAGCCTTGCATGAAGATAACTTGCCTCACAGAAGAGTATACATTCTCTGAAGTTTCAGTATAATGGTAAAAATGTAACTGTAGATATGGAAAATTGTTCAGAACATAATGCAAAAAAATAAATAAAGCTATAAAACATACATATTCAGTGAAATAGATGCAAAAGGACCCAGAAGGGTATATACACCAAGATGCTGTCTAAGCTCCTCTCTGGATGAGGTTGTAGTGTTTCTACAAGGCTGTCTTTTCTGGAGTGAGTTTTTTTTATTAAAGCTGAAATAATAATAATAATACCAGAAAAAAAATCTTTCATCAGAAAAGGAAAAAGCAAAGGAAGTTGGGGGTTATAGGCAAGGAAGGCCAGCCTAGCTGGCTAGAGTCTGGAAGGGCTGGGGAGGCAGGACAAAACACATCTGCCTGTGTTTCTGATAAAGAAACTGGAGTCAGAGGCCCTGGAAATGGTTCTCCTCCAAAGTGTATGTGGCTTGTGCACTAGCAGTGACAACCCAAGGCTTCTAGTCTTTCCAGCCTGGACCCAGTTCTGAGGCTTTCTTGGTACAGCTGATGAGTCTGGCAAGGAGCTTCAGAGCCAGCCTCAAGGATGTCTCCTCCTACAGGACACTCTTCTTCTGACCCTTATCTTCTCCCACCATCCTGAAAACAGAGTAAGGTATATCATCCCCATCAGAGAAGGGACAGGCTCAGGGTGTCTCAGCCCTAAGTATTAGCTGGTCTGAATCCTGGTTATGACCAAAAAGGGCTTCCTTGCAATTTTTTAGTTCAAAATACCTCCTAATGCAAAGCACAAGCCTAGGAAGCTTATGGCCCTAGGCCCAACACTATTCCTTGCATGAGACCCTACTGAATACCCAGAGATCCACACTCACAACGGGACAAAGTGACAGATCTATCTCAAGAACCAGTGACATCAGAGATCACAGACCTCGGTTAAGTCTGGGGACATAAGACCAAAGAAATGAAGCAGACCCACATCAGTGAAAGAGGACAGAAGTGATTGTTCTCAACTTCCTTCTCTGACTGCACACTTACCCTCACTTCCCTTCTAATGTCTTTTCATTGTGGTCTTAACGTCTGCATTATCAATACCCCCTAAAAATATGATCTCCTTGCTGTGCAGGACTGAGACTGCACAGAATGCCATCTAGGAGATGGTCACAGGCTGCACAAAAATCCTGCACCATAGACAGGAGGTTCCCTGTCTGGCAAGGATTCTGACTGAGCCAGGGAAGGTAGGAAGGGTCACTCATGCAGTGAGGGGACAGTTTCTACATGCTAGGAAGTTACAGTCCAACCAGTAAGACACACACACTATGCTTCCCCAAACACAAGATGACTTCATTCTGTGTCCAGCACACAGCTGCTCTGCCTAGTGTTGGAACTGTGTGACTCCATGGCACAGGCTGCCAGATACACACTTCCAGGGGAAAGGCCAACTCTAGGCACCTGTACTCCTCACTACTAACTCACAGGGCTAACTGTGTGCAAACCGGGATGGGAAGCTGTAGGAGGTAATGGTTACAAACCGTGGCTCTGGAGCAAGTACTGACTGGGTTTGGGTTCTGCATCTGTCCTTAGTAGCTCATAACCTCAAACCATTTTACCTCTTGGCACTTTGGTTTCCTCAACTGTTGTTTGTATTAAAGGAGATAATGTTCATAAAATTGCTTAGCATAGGGAGTGACCCAAAATGATAGCTCAATAAATTAAACTCACCAGGCTATCTATGTACATACATGTGCACCCACAGTGCTGTCAGAAGCCAGTAACTTTGACAGCATCAGGACCAGAACAATGCCTCCTCTCCACCCTCCTACAAAGCACCAGGACAATGCCTCCTCTCCACCACCCCACAGATTTAACTTACCATTAGACAGGGAAAAGGGGGAAGTGGAGAGAACATAGATGCTCAAAGTAGAAAAATATACAGTATGCATTCCCATTCGTGAGTACACTGCATCAAAGGAGAGGGCTAGTGAGGGACACAAGGAAGGAGCAAACGGAATTCATGGCATCCAAGCATTGCACCTTGCCATCATACTGACAAACACTTGTAATGAGAACATATACAAGCAGATACCTGGCCTGGCTCCGTTCCTGTTAAGCAAAGCCTGAACAATATCCTTCAAGAAAGTGGCCCCTTCCAAGGCTAAGCACGGGAACCCTTGCTAGGAGAGGAAAGGCACCTGAAAAATGGCGGATGTAGGTAAAGAACACGAAGAGAAAGGCAAGCACAGTAAACAGAAGACAACAGGAGAGTCCAGGTCCAGAGCCAGCAAGAGTCAACAGGATTTAGAACTAGTGCTACTGGAAAAGTCCTTCACAAAAGTCATCACCAAGACCACCTTAACCACTGTGATGTGTGACTTCACAGACAGACTTCAGGGAGAAATGAAAGTCTGTAGCAGTTTTACGAGAGAAGAAAAGGATGCCAAGGAACAGGGCACGTGCTTGTCATCCCATGAAGCACAAAGAGATGCAGGTGAACAACAGCATGTCCTCAGCTCATTCCCAGACACTGGCTGGATAGGAGACACGGAACAGGACAGAAGAGCGGGCACTACAGTGTTTATTGGGCACAGAATGAGATTAAGTTTTTACTGAAAGGCATAGTGGCAGCCATGTAAGAATCTCACAATTAGAATGGCTAGACCCATTTCCTAGATAATTCTGGATGTTTCCCTTAGCTGAAAATAAATGGCAAGGAAGATTTCTATCCTGGTAAACATGACTGGTCACGACTGGATGGTCACTCTCCCTTCTACACCTTCCCGAGACTCCGTGAAAATGTGTCCTAGAAAACGCGCTGTCAGACTGAGGAGGATCATCCATCTGTCTAGGGGTAGCGGCGCACACATACGAAAGAAAAACACAATTATTAGTTGCCTTTCTGAATGTATAAATATGTTTTCTGATCAAAACACCCGCACTATTTTGTCGAGTTGTAGGAATGATAGACAGATCAGGAAGAGTGGATAAGAGGTTGTGTATGAGAAAAGACCTGTGAAGGGCAAATGTTTTTCTGGAGAAAGCAACAAATGGTATCTAAAACAGATTTTAAATTAACAGAACTCACAGACTGCTGAGATAAATGGAGGTAGGTAGCATTTGAACTAGTTTTAAGCTGAATTAGATCTACATTTTCATTGCGGGGGTTGCAGGGGGGGTGTTTTGTTGTTTGTTTTGGTTTTGTTTTATTTATTTATTCATTTATTTTTGTTCTTTTCTTAGATAGGGTCTCCCTGCAGCCCCAGCTGGCCTGGAACTCACTACGTAGACCAGGCTGGCCCCAATCTCATAGAGATCCACCTTCCTCTGCCTCCCCATGGTGTACCACCATGCCTGACTGGTTTTATTTTTGAAACCAGATCCTTTTAGGTATCCCAGGCTGGCCTTGAACTTGTGGTGACCCTCCTGCCTCTGCTTCTCTGGTGCTGGATCTCGGGCATTCTCCCCCACCCTCAGCTTATATTTTAAAGACTTAGAAGGTGGCTCTAGAACATGAGACAGTAGAAAGAAGAGCAGGGATACTTGCTAATGATTGGAAGCCTGGAAACAGTATTTGACTTTCAACATTACCTACACAGGACAGTTTAACCGAAGAAAAATTGTCTCAAACAAAAAGGATCTATTTCAACACCAAGCTCAATTTACAAGCCTGGCCCTAAGATTTCTCAGCTTCCCTTCCTCTCCTGGCTGTACCATCCATCTAGTCATTAATCGTACTCCCCTCAGCAATGAGCTAAACTTGTCTGTTGTTGCCTTTTCACTTGTGTCTTTTCTCTAGACTAAGCTGCGTTGCAGTAGGAACCACTTCTCAAAACCTTTGAGGAGCCTCGGGAAGCCACGTGATTAAATCCATAAGCTCAGAGAAGGTGGGGGCCCCATTACCTGCATAGGCATTGGCCTGCTGCAGGAGGTCAGTGCAGGTGTGCACATCAGCAAATGCACGGATGCCCAGGCAGTTGGTGGGATGCAACTGAGACTGCAGAAAATCACAGCAATTCTGTCGAACGTCCATGAGCTGTAGCAAGCTAGCTGCGGGCAGGAGCACCTGCAAAAGAGGACGACATTCTGAGACAGCGGATCCCACTGGCAGGAACTCGTCCCCCTAGATCACCTTTCCAGTCGCGTTTCTCTGATCTCATCTCATGTTCCAGATTTGTCCATGGCCCACAACTGCCTTCTCAGTATGTCCCAACCTCCCAACCTACTTTCCAATCTTGTTTCCTACCACTGTCCACTTCAGAGACCTGGGCACCAGTGAATTCTTTGTATTGCTCTAGCCTCCAGCAGTGCTTTCCAGGGTAACATCAATCTCCAGGATCTTATTAAAATGAAGGTTTAGATTCAGCAGGTGTAGGACAGGACCTGAAAGCCTACTTATTTCTAAGGAGAACTCAAGTAACACTTGCAGCTGCCAGACCAGGAACTTCTGTGCATATGTACAACACATGTATAACATATGTACAGCACACACAGAGAAACTATGTACATTTGGCCACATATTGGAATCTACTGAACAATTTTTTATTTAAAAAATAAACATTTTAATTTATTTTTATTTTATGTGTATGAGTGTTTTTCTGCATGTCCATAAGTTCACCACATGCATCCAATGCCTGCAAAGGCCAGAAGAGAGCATCAGACCCCCCGGAACTAGAGTTACAGGCAGTTGTTAGCCACCATGTGGATGCTGAGAACCAAATTCAGGTGTTCTGCAAGAGCAACCAGTGATCCTAACCACTGAGCCCCACCTGGAGAATTTTAAATTCTGATGCCCAGGTGTCACATGTAAAGATTCTGATAGATGAGGGGTGTTGCCTGGACATTGAGACTTTTTAAGGCTCCCACGTGTACATCTAATAGCCAGGCAAGTCTGAGAGCCACTGCCATGCAACCTTTTGTGTACTATTGTCATTCAGAAAGGTACTTGTTGGGTTGCTCTAGATCATTCTTAACCATAGAGTCTATGTGCCAAGCTATGGTCTAGGTGGGTTCCTAGGTTCATTGGTAAGCAAAATAAACCAGATCTTGATTATATGGAGCTTATCATCTGACTGAAACAAGAAACTCACTCTAAACCCCTCAGAACTTAGGCAATCCTCCTACCCAATAAGTAAAAAGCAGAGTATTTGAGTACATTCTCAGAAAAAAGAGGGCTGAGTTTTTATTTGAAAGGTCACTGGACACTTACTTATACTGTATCATGGAAAACAGAAATAGTTTTTGTTCAGGTACATGTGCATGTGTTTTTCCTAAGAGTCAGAGAAGACTGGCTTGAGCAGGCCTTCTAGGCAACAATACCAATCCCTGTCAAGCTTTCCACAGCTGCTGATGCCTGCCCTCTAGAACACAAAAACAGAACAGAAGTCTGATTCCACTGCAACTGGGCAGCTCCGCTACCTTCACTCTGGGAAAGAAGCCGGTAATTTTCCAAAAAGAAATTTAGAAGAAAATATTGCAGGGCATTGATTTAAGGCCCCTTAGCTTTCAGATCCCAGCATCCACTTACCATATTCCAAGGCCTTTGTGCTCAGTTGTGCTCCCTGGTTCTCGGGGAGACAGGCTAGCCAGACAAACTCCAGTGATTCCCACCCACAGTGGCTTACTCAGAGACGTGGCTGCGGCAACACCTGCATTCGTTCTCTTTATTCTAGGCACTATACGTTTTTTTTTTTTTCAAGTAACTTAAATTCTGAACCCTGACCTTCTCCCAAAACAGCTCTAAGCCTCCACTCAGATTCCCATCAGCTCTACATTCTTAGGCCAAAAACAATACCTCATTGCCCATTCCTGGGCCTTGTCCCTCCACAAGGGCGACCAATTACCCAGGTAAGGCTGAGGGATTTCTCAGGATTTCCAATGCTAAAATTTGGACCGTTGGTCTTTCTTTGTCATTTCTGCCCAATGCATCAACTGCCAAGCCAAGAACCCTACTATCTATGTCACACTGAGTCAAGTGACTACTGTTCAAAGACAGCTTTGCCTGTTTTAACAGTTTCAACTTTTCCTTTGGGGACAAGAAGAACTGTGCTTCCTCCTTTCCTCCACCCTGCCTCCCACTTGCCATGTCCCCAGCAAGATTGAAGTAAATTGGCACCATGTCCTTGATATTTTCTGCCCACTGATTTATTCCTAAGAGAAAAAAAAAAAAAAGATAAAAATCACCCTTGCCTCAGAGTTTCAAATGATAGGTGAAGCCAGCCAGAATCCAAATCTAACCACCTGAGCTCCATCCCCACTAGGCAGCCATAAACTGGGAAACTCAATTAACCTGTGAGCCTGCTCAGCCTGGCCACACAGATTCTAGGACCAGATTAGCCTCTGCCTGCTAGTGAAGTGGAGATCCATTAACCATTCTTCCAAATACACACCAGGAATGGAAAGCTCTGCACCAAGTTTCCAAGTGACCTCCAGGATACCCCTTCCCAATCATCCTGTTTTGCCTGGGACCCTGCCAGTTTTAGCACAAGGAGACCTCTCAGGTCTACTCAACCTGGGATACTTATTTGTGCTAAGCTGGGATTATTTATTACCAGTAGTTCCCAGGATTACTGAGAATCCTGTCCATCTCCAGATTGAATTCCCTAACAAGCCCTAGAAGGATCATGCCAGGGACACATAATTCCCCCACCCCCTGCCCCCTTCTCCTCTCCAGGAAGAAAGCAACACAGTTTAGTGCTTAAGTTCTCAAGCTCATGACAAACAGCTAAAGAAGCACAATAATAAATATTTACTGCACATACTGTTGGGTTACAATTTCGGTTTCTAACACCTCCCTAGACAAAACTATCCACATAGCTTTCAATTTCCCTACTGTTCACAAAACTCACTTAGTGGGCAAAAAAATAAGGTTTCCCACCTTTCCACATGCTCATCCTGCTTGGGTCCACTCCTGCCTAAGAGTGTTTCTGAACTGACTTCCTAAATGAACAGGGCTTATGGATTTTCTGATTGCTCCTGTTCTCTCTTTGACCTCATGCGATCAACAGTAAGTCAAAGGCCCTTTTCTGCCCTCTATTTGCTGCATTCAGGAGGGCATCGTCAAAAGTAGAGGCAGTCAGAAGATTGAGGGGGAAGATGTAGAGGCTAGGAGATAAGTCATTGCTCAAGTACTGCATGTCAGGAATAGACTTGGGCCCCATCCAATGGGGCTCTGGGGTTTATACACAAATACAAAACAAATCCCCAGGAAACAAACATGTATAAGTTGGCCAGTCGGTTCCCTCTTCCACATCTGCAGGGCTTGAGGGAATTTCTTCTTCTCTTGTCTGAAGTATCCTGACGTGTCAGCCATAGCAAGAATGGCCAGCAGGCCCAGCTGTGTTCTCAGCTTTGAAGTGGGCTGTTGGGATAGAATCATAAGGTGGACTATTTGACCCCTTTAGGAAAGAGAAAGCTGGGGCCTGGGAATGAGTAGTTGGCAGGTCCCATCAGTACGGAAGATTGCCCCGGGTCAAAAAGTGTCTAGCTTGCCTTTTACTACCTCAGCAGCATATTCCAAAGAGAGGCTCTGGAAGGGCCCTCAGCAAAGAGTTCCCCTCAGCTTGCAGATGGCCAATCCTCCATTTTTCACGTGTTGTACCTATTTTGTTTTTCTCTCCCTCAGATAACATGAAAACACAGCAGAGGATATCCCGTCACAGAGTTTGCTTCCTTTAGCAAAAACAAGAGGAAATGCCCTGCCTCAGAAAATACCTACTCCTGGAACTCCATCCATGGGGGGCAGGGCCAGGCACGACAGAGGGCCTGCCAGAGTGCCAGGTGAAGGCTGCCCGGAGCCTCTCCCAGCTTCTCTCAGGGCAGGCTGACCAAACAGTAGTGCCAAATTAGAACCTGCTGAGAGGAGGAGGGAGGTACATGGGACAAGAGAGCTGACAGAACAGCACTGTGATGAAAAGTGTCATTTTTAGTTCTGGTGTCTCCACTTGCTGGCCACGTGGCTGAGGACAATTACCTAATCTCAGCATGCCTTGGCGTTCTCAAGGGCACACTGAGAATGATCATAGTGCTGCCATAAAGGCTTGTGAGAATCGTGTGAGGTGACACATGTATGAGTGAACACTGTGCTTGATGCATAACAAATGCATAGTTAATGTCACTTTTTATTATAACTAAGCACTATGAGCAGAAGCCAAAGCTCTGATCATCCATTTACCAAGAAGCCAGAGTTTGCCATAGCCACAGAGCACAGTCCAAGGCAGCTGGGTTCGGGTCTCCAATTCCCTTACGCCCATGTGACCCAGGTTAATGAGCTCCTTTATGCATCAGCCCCTTCAGCTGCAAAAGAGGGATCATGTTAGTCTTCCTACTAGGTGATCATGATAGTTAAATGAAGTGTCTGGTGCAGGCCTGGATTCTAATGAACATTAGTGTCATCCAGGACTGTTGTCACCTCCACCATGGAAGAGTCATTTGGTCTTTCCAAGAATATGTGGTGGGAAGAGGCTAAGGCTTGACTCTCAAGGCCATTCAGCTAAGTCCCAGTATCTGAGCTGTGTCTCCATGCTCATCTCCTTGGCAACCAAACCCTCACTGTCTTCATAAACAACATGAGCAGCCGCCCTGGCAGGTACCTAACAATGGGATGAAGAATCTACATTTTTATCCAAGCTCCCCTTTTCTAGACCTTGCTTTTGTTTCTTTTATTTTTCCCAAGGTTGTCTCTGACCTGAACAGAAAGTGAGTAAAAGAGAAAAGAAATTATACTGGATTAACTCCAGATAAGTACAGTTCTCCCAAAGGCCCCACACAGGCCTCCCAAGCAAAGCCCTGTGGATGCTGTCCTGCCCCATTTCACACAAACATGAAGACAGCACGTTCCTCCAGCAGCTCACAGCTCAGTGGAGCGTGGGCAGGAAGACAGAAGAGGAAGACCAGAGCACCCCTTCTTCCTCCAAAGTCTGGCCCAAATATTACCAGAATGTGGTCTGCCAGCCTATTCTGTGACAGGTAGCAGTCCATAACAGCAACTTCTTTGCACATACTGTGTATTACCATAAGGCAGAAGATCAGAGAAACATGTTGAATAAATTATCAAATGAAGGAACACGTCTATATGGCCCTTCGCAAGGGAGGAAGGACTGAGACAGCCCGTGACCCCATGCTTTCTAGATCATGCTTTTCTACCCCTGGCTACTTAACAGGTCCCACAAAGGGCCCTCTCCTCAGAGCAATAGTTAGTGCCTGGCCCAGGCCTCTGGCAATGCCAAACATCCAGGGCATTCCCCAGGAGGTAGCCTAAACTATCCTCCCATAAGAGAATTCCTAGTAGGTCAGATGGGGTTAGTCTCTGCTCCCCCTCATGACTCCTACTCCTTACCTTTCTACTCCCTAACTGGATACGCTTCCTCAGTCCCCATCAAAGGAGAAAGCAAAGGAGAAAGCAGACAGTGCCTTCTGCGTACAAGTAATGGATGGTATCAACACTTCCCCTATTTTAGGGAATGACAGCCAAGAGTTATGGTTCACCATGCGCCAGGCCATAGTCTAAGTGTTTGACCTATGTCAATATGTTTAATCCTCTGCAACCTTTTTGATCCTCATTTTATACTAAGTTGCTCTGTACTTACTGTCACTACTCAAGTCATTTACTTCTGTTGCCAGACCCAGTAAACAACCACTTCACTGCCTACACTGCTCCATATGCAACAGAACAATAGCATGTATAAAAATATATCTTATGTAAAAAAAGGATGAGGCAAGATGAGACCAAATCACTGCAGGAATTGTGGTAAGCTGGGAGACTGTCCCTCTGGCACAGCAGGCTCCACAGGCTCAGATGCAGTGTGTCTCTCTCTGCCTATGTCCTGACTCTTCAAAATTACCCTCCACCTTCAGCCCACCATTTACCCCACAGCTTCAGCTTGAAGCTTAACTCTAAAAGTACCCTTCCTAAGCCCTCTCCTTCGTCCAAATGGAGTCCCTTGATACCCTCTCTTACTGTGTATAGACATCACTTGCATGTTCATTTAATAAATGTCTGTCTTCACCCCTAGACTACAGACTCTACCAGAAAAGGCAAATTCGCCATTACATTCACAGTGCCCAAAAAAGAAAGTGGTAGATAACAGGAATTCAAACACTGAGGCCGAATTGAAAGAATAAGCAATTATCAGTTCAGTCTCTCAAACAGCTCAAACCTAGAGAAAGGGATAGTGTTCTAGGTAAGGGAAATGGGTATCTCGGCCACTAGAGAGCTATAAGCCTCAAGTAAATAAGATGATTTGTGCAAAACCAAAACAACAAAACATCTCAAATCACATAAACTGCCATAACTCGTATTAAATAATGACAGCAGAATGTTTCCTGTGTCTATTCATCCCAGTGACCCATGGGGTTCAGAAGTGCCACCCCAGTTATCTCCCTGACCGAAGCACAACGTGGGCATCCTGTCTTCACTGGCTCCTCTTTTCCAGGCTCCAGATGGCTTAGGACAAGGCAGGGCTGTGACAGAGGGAAAAGGCACACACAATATGTCAAAGCCACACACTCCAGCTGAGACGCCATCCTGATGCTTGGCACCTCCAAGTGCTCAGATGCCGTCAGATGACTAAAGATAAAAAAGAACAAATGTGAACAGCCTCACCATCCAAACACTCAAACCCTGGGGATCAAATGGCCTGGGAAGAAGAAGGGTCACCCAGCTTCTGGTTCTTCCTTCATTGGTTAGACACGTGAATGAAAGACTTCTCACTCCTGTTGTCAGGCTTGTGCAACCATACCTAAGCTGTGCAGATAGGCATTTAGGGCCAGCTGGCCCGTCTATTGGTCATGTGACCCAGGGCAAGTCACTTAAATTCTCTGCAGCTTCCATTTCATCCTTGATCACTGAGGAATTGTGAGGGTTAAATGAAGGGGTACCGAAATAGTAGGTCCTGGGTGTGCAGGGTGCGAGCCACTAGCCAGGGCAGAGTTTACCTGTACATTCTCTTCAGTCACCTCAATTTCTGCAGTATAGATGTAGTCGATCAGCTTACTGAGTGTCTGCCCATCTACATCCTTGATTTCAATCTTCTTGGCTTTACTCTCGGACATGTCACCTATAGATCACAACAAAAACAAAAGGACATGAATCTGGCACCTACGGATGCTTCACTTCTACAGGCCCTCCTTCGTTGTCTTGGAAACGTCAAAGTCCTGCCTGTGCTCTTAGAAACAACAGAAGAGATTCAAACACAGAAACACCAAGGTCATACTGACCTTAGTTTCCAGATTACCCATAAACCCAATTGTAGGCATTCTGTACTCCGCCACCTGTTTTCATTCTGAAGACAAATTGGTGTGCAATAACTCACTCAAATAGCACTTACTGAAAACTTCTGCATCCAGGATCAGGAATGGTAATCAAGCTCTGTACCTGCCCTAAAGGATGACAGGTCTTGTAAAAGGGATACACACACACACACACACACACACACACACATACATGCACACAAAGTACCCATGACAGCATGAAAAACTATTTGTCAAGCGCCAACTGTGGCCAAACACTTTAAATTATTGCCTCTTCCAAGCCTCACGGCAACTTACAAGGTTTATTGATATTATCATCATTTTAAAAGGAAAAGGCAGGCCGGGCGTGGTGACGCGCACCTTTAATCCCAGCACTCAAGAGGCAGAGACAGGCGGATCTCAGTGAGTTCAAGGCCAGCCTGGTCTACATAGTGAGGTCCAGGACAGCTGGGGCTGCAGGGAGACCCTGTGTCAAAAAGACCAAAAAATAAAATAAAATAATAAAAAAATAAAAGGAAAGGGCCTGAGGCCCAGGAGAGCAGCTCATTCATCTTGTTGTAATCACACATCTAAGAAGGGGCCTTGTGGGTTGAAAGGGAGTCTGACTTTGGAATCCACAGTAGTAATAATCATGTCATCTTAAATCCCAGAAACAGAGGAGGAACAACAACACTGCATGGCAACTAGAACGAAGTCTCCTAGAAGAGGCCACATCTGATCTACCACGAAGAGGAGCTCAACCGACAGCAAAGATGGGCTGGATGTGTAAAGGAGGAAAATACCAAGAGGACTCTGAGGAGCAGTGACAGCTGCTGTGGCTCTACACCAGGAACAGGGCAGAGAAAAGAGCTAGAGAGGAGCAAAAGGAGCTTGCACTCCATCCCAAGGGCTGTACCGCCATGAGGCTTTAAACAGGGGAGCGACAAGAACAGATGGAAATCTTTGAATGAAATTTTAGATGCAGGAGCAGCAGGGAGCAGGGCTAACCCGGAGGCAAGAAGAGTAGTGGGAATCCCCTGATAAGAATCCAAGAAAGGGAGGACATGGCGCTGGAAGCGAGAGCAGCAACAGCACCATATTCCCAGTCCCAAAGTCCCTGCCTCTGTGGACGCCTGTGTCGATCTAAAACCAAGCCTCTTCAGAAGGGTTACTGACTTCAGGAAATAGAGACAACACATAAGTCTTTGTAGGCTGAAATAAAGGGCAACCTGACTACAAGAAACAATGCATTCAGAAGTCCTAATGTGAGTATGAAAACAGAGCCTAATGGTTGTTTTCTCTCTGTGGAATTCATACAGCACAGTACAAAACCCACAGACACCCACAATCAAGATGCATGAAAACTCGGCACACGGTGCCTCCAGCAATCCTCAGTATCTATCCTGACATAGGTCTAGATCTGAATGACTCCAGAACAGGGAGGAAAGTGGATGGGGTGGGAGCCTGCTAATTCCTGACTTCTGCCTCCCTGTCAAAACAGGTAGACCAGGTAGACAGGTCTTCTCTCTTGTATGAGTACTGTGTAGTCCAGTGACTAGGGTCCAGCACAATGAATCCTGAGGCGGGAGGCAGAGGTGAAAACAGGGAAAGGTGACCAATTATTCCTCTACTCATAAGACGGGTCCCCAGTCTCTCTTGAGTTCACACTAAGATGTACAAAACAAGCACAAAGAAATCACCAGTTTTCCATCCAAATAGCTATTTAGAAACTTATTAATGAGGGTCCAATTGGTAACTGTAGCACAAAGGATAAGTCAACTTTAAGAACTTATGCTTTAAGAATAAGACAAAAAAGAGCAGCCCATTGCAAGAACTCAGAGGTTCGGAAGCTCTGATATGAGTAGTTAGGACCTGGACTGACTAGTCGTTTTCTGTCTGAATTTGTGTGTGGGAATCAGGTTAGGGTTTTATAACTGTGGGTAAACAAATAGGTGCTACTGAAATTGTTTGAAAATACTTGGGTGTATTGTATGTGTAGTTATCACACATACACACACACACACACACACACACACACACACACACACACCCATACACACGCACACAAGTATAGTTTTTCTGGGAAGATAGCAGATGATATTTACCAGATTCTTTCAGGTTTCTATGATCCTCAAAATGTGAAAACTCAAACAGTTTTCTAGACTGCAGTTCTTAAACTGTGAGTCATGACTCATATGGTAGTGCATAACTGACCGTAGGGCCATGAACATGTTGGCCACAGTAAAAGGTTTCTGGATATACAACGACCAAAAGTTAATCCAAAATCAAGCGTGTGATTGAATGTGAGGTGTTTCTGGCAGTGCTCCCCCATGGTACACCATTCAGCTTCTCTGCAGCCTTGGTTCTGAACACACAACACATACACTTTGCTCTGTGCATGCTGTCATCCCGTTCAGCGCCAAGGAACACTGCCTGAAACACACAGCTTCAGATTTGAGACTGTTACTTATTATGCAGTGCAGTGTTCTGCTCCTGTAGAAACAAAAACATTTAATTATAGAAAACAAAGAATTTTAAAATATTTTCCTGTCACTCCTCAGCATATATTAAAGTAGTGTATTTCTGGATTATGCTGTATTATAATATTTGTTTTTAAAGGTTGCTATTTGAAGCAAAGGAAACTACCAACAGAGGAAACAGCCTACAAAATGGGAGAAAATCTTTGCCAGCTTTGGAAAAAAGATTCATATTTAGAATATATAATATAAAGAACTAGGCGTCTGTGGAAATGGCTCAGTGAGTAAAACCATTTGTCACACAAGCCTGATGACCTGAGTTTGGATCCCCAGAACCCATGTAAAAGCTGCATATAGTAGTGAAAATATCTGTAATCCCACTGCATCCCAATGGGCAGATGAGAGGCAGAGACAGGATAATCTCCAGAAGCTCGGGGGCTAGCCAGCCTGGGTTAGGAAGTGGCCAAGAGACCCTGTCTCAAACAAGGTGGAAATAAGAGGACCAGTACCAAAGTTTGTCCTCTGACCTCCACACACGCACACACACACATGCAAAAGAATTGCAAAGATTTAACATCTCCCCCTCAAAAAAAAAAAAAAAAAACCCTACTAAACAGTAAATGAGCTAATGAAATGAACATACAGATCACAAGCAGAAAAAAATGGCCAATATGTATTTTTAAAGGGTTCAATATCATTATCAATCAGGAAAATGCACATTAAAACTACTCTGAGATTCCATCACACAAGAGTGAGAATAACTATCATTAAGAAAACAATAGTAATAAATGCGTGTGAGAATTAAAGATGAACCTTATTCACTGCTGGCAGGAGTGTAAACTGGTGCAGCCATTATGGAAATCGGCATGCGGGTCTCACCAAAAATTAAAAACAGAACTACCTGAAGACCCAGCTATACCAGTCCTATACCTAGTGCATCCATCTGTAGCACTGCTCCATTCACAAAGCAAGAATGGAATCAGCCTAGATGTCTGTCAGCAGATGAATGGAAAATGAAAACCTGGTACATATACATAATGGAATTTAACTCAGCCATAAAGCAAAATGAAATTACGAGATTTGCAGGAAAATGTTATATTAAGCAAGGTAACCCAGGCTCAGAAAGACAAACACCACATGATCTCTCTCATGTGTGGATCCTAGCTTCCTAGCTTTTATGTGATTGACACCCCCGTGTGTGTGTGTGTGTGTGTGTGTGTGTGTGTGTGTGTGTATGTGTGTGTGTGAATGTGGGTATTTGCCATGAGAGAGAAAAGGGACCACCATGGGGGTGGTGTTGACAAAAGAAGGGAAGACAAAGAACGCAAGTGACATGAAAGGGTTAGGTTGCCACTGTATAAAAGGAGGCAGGGGATTTGAGATGGCCTAATGAAATTGTGTTTTAAAATGCCATAATAAAGCTTAATACGTTGTATGCTAATTTTAATTTATTTTTTAAAAATTTCTGTTTGAGTAGCTGACATGAGTTTCATTTTTTAAGTTAAATAAATTTTGACTTGTGATTAAGAATGAATTTCCAACAATTTCTTTTCTTTTAATGTGTCTAAGTGTTATACCAGAATGTACATAAGCGCACCCAAGTTGTGCAGTGGCTAGAAGAGGGTATCAGATTCCCTGGAACTGGAGTTACCCGTGGTTGTTAGTCACCATGTGGGTGCTGGGATTCAAACCTGGGTCTTCTGCAAGAGCAGCCAGCGCTCTTAACAATTGAGCGATCTCTCCAGCCTCCAACAATTTCTGAAATGGCCTTAAACATACTTCTCATTCTGTACTACATATTTATATAAAGAGGCATTTTCAGCATTGACAGAGAATCAAAATGTCAATTAACTCTGAAAAACACTGACAATATTTTGTGCCCTACAGTATTAAATATTCAGCCAAAATTTATTATATAAAAATAAAAAGCTTTTGTCTTTAATAAATGGTAACATTACATGCATAACAAAGAATTTCTTAAAAATAGGACTGGGGATGTATCTCAGTTGGAAGACTACTAGACTAGCATACAGGAAGCCCCACATTCAATCCCCATAAACTGGACGTGGTGGCACATTCACTTAATCCTCACTTGGAGGTGGAGGCAGGAGGATCCGTAGTTCAAGGTCATCCTTGGCTACATAGTGAATTTAGGCCAGCTTGGGCTACAGACTCATGTCTCAGAAAAATGATTTAAAATAAATGTCTTAATGTCAATACCAGTAAATGTCTGATTTATATACCTATTTCATATTTTTACATAACCCAGAGTCATGTAAAAAATTCTCAGGAAAAAGGGATCATGAGTAGAAAAACTTTAAGAAGCCCTGTTCCATACAAAAGGACTTTGG